CCTTGAAGAAACATGAACTTGTACAATCGTTTTCGAGCGCAATTTTCCGGGTAATGTTGCCGGTTTTACTTGAGTGCAGAAAATTTCTGCTCACTTCTATTCCCAACGAGCAGTTATAAGTAGTCAATAAACTGTGTATGATTTTGAGCGAAGTCCACACTTCATGGGTTGCGCCATGCCTTTGACTATCAGTTCGTCGTGGCTACTCTTATAAGCGGTTGAAAGGTTTCAGGCTGGCATGCGGTAGGACGTGCGCTGGCGTTACAATGGTCCATCAGTAGACTACTGTCAAAGAAGGGCTCCACTGAAAGGGAATGGTACAGACAGGTTCAGGTTAGGTTGAAAGATGCACAAATTAGCAAAGGAGGCTAACTGATGGTGAGTTCAAAATCCCTGGGGCCGTAAGGTATGCTTCCCGAACAGGAGAGGGACCCCTCCTGGTAAGGTATGCTCTCCCCGAAAACTCTCGGGGAAAGGCCACGCCCACCGGTTCTCGGGGATATCTCCCCGATTGACATGCAATCGGGGAGATATCCCCGTGATTGACATGCAGTCCGGGAGACATCCCCGAGAACCGGTGCATTGCCTTTCCCCGAGAGTTTTCGGGGAGAGCATACCTTACCAGGGAGGGGTCCCTCTCCTGTTCGGGGAAGCATACCTTACGGCCCCTGATCACACAAATCGACAGTTCTGATGCCCATCAACGGTAGGGAATGTTACAGGGGGCTTGGCTTCAAAATGCAAGGTTCGACCTTACGAATGTTGCAACGCGACTCAACGCCTCTGACCGCTTCGCTACCACAGCTCTAAAACCAGTCTTTCAGCCTATCACTTTTCTGATCTTCCATGGGAATAGAACAGTGGGCTCAGCGTAGACGCCGATAAGCTAGCCTTTCGGATGATTATCGATTTTCTTAATTAAGCTTTCGATGGAAAACTGCTTCAAACCAGCACCAAAGCACAAAATAAAGCATTCGGCGCTGGTCTGCTCCGTTTTGGGATGCGCCACGCATTCTACTTCCATTTGTACATTCGTAGTGGCATTTGAATGCGATGTGGCCTATACAATGACTTGCGGGGGCCAGCCGATGTACAAGTCAGTGTTTTTATCCTCCCAGACAAGTCTGGTACCAATTAACCGACCCCGGAGGGATGGAAGGCTTGGTTGGCCTGGGCGACTCACGACCCAGGATTGATCCCCCACCACCACACGTGTGGAAGTAGCGTCACTCATCACAACACCCCTTCCGTCCCCACCTACAGTTCAAATCTTGTATTCATAACGTTCAAATAATGAGAGATTAGGCTTCGATCGTTCTTAGAATGCGCCGTGCATCCTTGTTCCCATCTAGATCACAGTGGCTTGTGAAGGTGACCGTAGCATGCAGTGACCTTTGGGGGTCAGCCGACGAATGGAACAGATTTTTTCTTGAAGCCGTGAAAATGACCACTTGGCAATGATCATCCTTTTCGAGAATATGCCTTATATTCAACGCCGCATTCAACTACCATTCACTATTATAGGCGCCTTTGAATGCGCATTGGACTGCGTAAGACATGCAAGAATCACCCACCCAGCAAGAAAGTGTTTCTAGTGGTGAAAGGCGCATCCGTGGACATAACCGATGAGGTTATTGAGCTACAAAACAAAATGAAAGCAGAAGGCGATGAGGACCGATAAAGAAGAAAAAAGGAAAACCAAATCACCAACCCCGCCCCCACAAAAAAGTGACTCTTTATTTACGGTAGATCTTCAAAAACAGATAGCAGAAAAAGATCACCTACGCCGTGTAAAAAAGACAGAAACGAAACGAGACAGTATGAGACCGAGCGAGAACGCCTTGTCCCCTGTGACGTCAATGAGCGACACGTCCCCGATTGCTTGAAACGTAGAGCCCCGTCTTCTCAGTGCTGAACTATGCGTTATGGTCGTGCATCATCCGAACTCTCCACTTCTCGCACTATAACTTACACTCCACTGCAGGTGAATAACGTCGAGAAATCCCGACATGGGTCTATTTGCTCCGATTGAGAGTTGAGAGGTATCAGTTACTCAAGCCAACAGACGGACCCAACGTGCTGCTGCCACTTTATTTTTGCCCCTCATTATTCAACAAGTCTGTATTATCCTACATTGCAAAATAAATCTTACATCCGTCGCTCGGCATAAAATTCCAAGTGAAGTCGTGTTGATTTAGTCTATGACCATAGGCTGGAGGCAACTGGCGTCTGCAAAAAATCGTAGTGAAAGGCACGAGCAAAAGTTCAAAACAGGCAGATTCGCAGCCTTCTTGGCATCATCAGATAATGCGACCGCAAGCGTGTCATTCATCAGAACGGATTGGAAAGGAAGCGACTTGAATAAAGGAATGATCAGACATCACTATGACCACAAGAGTTGTCCTAATTAGTTCATACTGGAAATATCTTTTGGTGTGCTTAAGCAAGTCGTCACTATGACAAAACACCTTCCCAATGACTCCGAGTGGGGTCACTGCATGGCGCATACAAGAACGGAATGGATCTGCGCCAAGTGCATCATTTCAATTTACTCCATCGAACTGACGTGTACAGAAGCACTTTGAAGGTGTTCACGATCCCCTCACGGCGAGAGTAAAGAGTTTCGAAGGCGCTTAAACCCGATTATTCCTCCGACGCAGATTTCTCGCGAACTAGAAAGCGTTTGAGAACAAATGGAGCACCTGTTAAAAGCGTGAATCTTCTACTTTACAACGCTTTCCTCGGATTTTCAAAGCATTGCCAATGAAGACAGCTACTGTCTTCCTAAGAGTGGGAACTCGCATGTAAATTTCAATTTCCTCGACAATTTCTCGACGTCTCCCACTCTCGAGAATAGGTGCTAGAGTAAACGCTTAGCACAATTTAGAAACTAGAAGTCTTGTGCATTCAAAAGCTGCCTTCACTTTCTGAAATGGTTATCAATGAAGAAAGTTATAGTCCTTTAAATAGGGGGTACATTTGACGATTTTTCCAACTAGCGCGCTCTAGGCACAGCGCGCGACGCGATCGCGGGTAGTTAGCGCCGCTATACTGGAGCGCGAGACTGTTCAACTGTAGGGGCAGTACCTCCTTCAATGTTCTACTTTTCCGGCCAATGTGGCAAAGGTTAAATGTCTTTAAAGGAAAGAATCTAGCATTTGGATCAAGCCGCATTTGCGTGGCAGCGGCGCTGCGTCCCTCTCGCACATCTGAAACTAGCATTTTTTGATATGAAACCGGATGTGCAGAGGACAAAAAGGGGTCGTATCAGAGTCCATGTTTCGGAGGGGGTCGTAAAGAGGCGGTTTCCTCGACACGAATTTCACCGTCTCCACTACCTAATACGGTGTCCTCGAAACTAATAGATCTCTTGGCAGAATGGCGCAATAAAGCTTCGGGGGTCAGTCGCGCACGCAGCCGCGTATCAACAGAGATTTCGTGAGCCGGGGTAATTAATCCATTCAGGGGGTCGTAGGGCATTCACTGACATCGTGAGAATCTGAAACTTGAGTTCACTCTACGCGCTAAGACGCGCGCAACTCCCTCTCCCGACCACACTGCGCCGAGAAAGGAAAAAGGCCAATTCAGGGCATAAGTAAAACTATATACTCACTCCCTGAGGACCGGTTTGACCTCCTCGCCACTTCAGCCACCCCACTCCCCCCCCCCTCCCACACACACACCTTTTCAAGCCAATGACAAAACGCTAGCACCGAAGGGGTATCGATAAAAATAAATCGATAAAAATAAGTCGATAAAAATCGATTATTTCCATGCTTCATTAGTGGTGAAAGTTGAGCTGATTGCATTTTCTCATAGCTTTTGAAGATTTTTGTGATTCACTCCGTGAGGTCCCACTTACGTCTCAAGAGCAGCACTCGTTTCCATATTCTGACCGTCTTTCCTGACCGCTTAACAATTGTAAGCGTTGCAATCCTAACTAACAAGGGAAGGATACCAGGTCGAAGTGGCCATTTGTAACGAGTTATGTGTTTTTGGACGCTGA